TGTTGTAAGTCTTCATAAAATTGGTCAATTTCAGTCTCCTCAGCATTGGTGGTTGGTGCATAAACCTGGATTACTGTGATGCTGAAAGGTCTGCCTTGGGTTCTTCTTGAAATCATTCAATCATTTTTGAGATTATATCCCATTACAGCTTTTCCCACTCTTTTGTTGACTATGAGGGCTACTCCATTCCTTCTACAGGATTCTTGCCCACAATAGTAGATATGGTAATCATCTGAATTGAATTCGCCCATTCCCGTCCATTTTAGTTCACTGACACCCAGGATATCAATGTTTATTCTTGCCATCTCCTGTTTGACCACATCCAGCTTTTCAAGGTTCATAGATGTTACATTCCAGTTTCCTATGTAGTATTTTTCTTAGCAGCATTGGACTTTCCTTTCACTTCCACACATGTCCGCAGCTGAGCATCCCTTCGACTTTAGCCCAGCCACTTCATTAGCTTTGCAGCTGCTTGTACTTGACCTCTGCTGTTCCTCAGTAGCATGTTAGATGCCTTCTAAACTGAGGAGATCATCTTCCAGCGTCATGTCTTTTAGCCTTTTGTTTCTGTCCATGCAGTGTTTTTGGCATTGATACTGGAGTGGCTTGCCAGTTCCTGCTCCAGGTGGATTGCGTTTAATCAGAACTCTCCACTATTATAAATTACAGTAGATCAATGGATATCTGGTTTTTAAAGCTGTACTTTGCACACCAGTCTTTGCACAGGTGCTCACTTCTGAGTAGGTGTGCCTAGAATTGGGTAAAGTTTTGTATGTTTATAGAGAAAATGCTATGTGTGCATGTATGCAAACATGTAATAGTCCACTGAGTGACAACCCAAGTTGTAGAAGATCCTTTAAGATGAAAAGAACCAACAGGAGTTCGTCAGGCACCTGTATTCACCCAACACAGTTATTAATAATACTGTTATCTTTAACTTCTAGTAGTACCAATTTAAATTGTTAAAACCGATAAAATATTAAAAATGTTTCCCTCACAATTAATTAAGTTGTGGTTGAAAGAACTTCCAACATAGTGAAAGACTGCTGTCTGTTAGTAATTGGCATTAGCACTAATTCAGGCCATCTTCTCCTGACTCTTCCTGAGCTATAATATGCATGCTTAGTCTGCAGGGCTTTCTCCTCAAAAAGCATGCTAGGGCTTTGCTCTCTTCTGTGAAGGCTAAGCCCCTCAGACATATTTCTATTTTTCTTGACAAACTCAAATGGTCAGTTTGTCTAAAAGTGCTTTCAAAGTGACTGTCGCCTTGCATTTCTGGTGTTGGATTTCAAGAGAAACTGTCACTTGAGGTTAATATTAGAGGTCATTCACTCAGTGTACTTTTAAAAATGGGAGCCACCCTTGGGCCAGTTCTGCCTCTTCACATTTCTGAGGCAGACACTTAAAATGTATTTCACTCTCATGTAATAATATTGTACTATCAATCTTGGCTTGTCAATTATGTCCAACTTTCGTGCATGTATGTTTATATGAAGGCTACGCAAAAGTCACACAACCCCGAGAGGAAGTTGTTCCCTCCATGCACCTTTCCATTTCCAGCCCACATTCTGTACGAATAGCTTAGATAAACATCTGCTTCTAGAAAAACACATAGAGAAGAGCTTATCTTCAGAGGGTGATTATACCCAACCGCAAGTGAGTTGATCTAGCTCCTGCACTTGCTCTTCTACAAATGCATTGTGAATTGTGATTTACAAGAACATACGATAATTGCAGTATGATATGTAAAATGTGTGCCAAAAAATCAAATGCTATTTAAAAATAATCTTTTATCGCATTAAAATGCTATCGTACTGGATGGTTTATTATGATGGAAAGTAATGTAAGACTTTCCTGGAGCTCTCATGTTCCTTTCACCTCTTCTGCACAGATTTTGCTTCTATTTTAGATTAATGATAGCTCGTTATTAATATGAACATGGTAAAATAGTGGTTAACCACAGCCAGAGAGCAAATATGTTTATTTTCTCCATTGCCCGTGTTGGCTGTCATATTCTGGGAGCACATGACTCACTCAGAGACACTCAGAGAACTTCTTGGTTGAATGGGGATTGAACGGAAGTCTCCTTAGTCCTAAATTGGCATTTTAGGCATTACTCCATTGGTTTATCTGAGAGCTTGTTGGATCCTAAATTTCAGACAATCCCTTATTTTTTGGCCACTATGCTGCACTTCTTCCTCTACTTTCTCCTGCACAAAGCTGCCAATATCGTAAATGAAGTAGAGATCAGTAACACCTTGGTTAGTTTATTCTTTATGTTGAAGATTTCATTCAATGCAATGCCATTTTTAATATGAAAAAATCTTCCCTCTCTTCCTAAAATAAAATATGAGGTATCGAAGACCTAGGCTTGCAAATTATGCTCTTTGAGTTCACAGTACTCTCATTGTTGGTTCTCTCTCTTTCCTATCTTTCTTTCTTAAAAAAAAAAAAACAGGATTATTATAATATTATTAAAAAGCCCATGGACTTGACCACAATTCAGAAACGCCTGGAACACAACTATTACACATGTGCAGCTGAATGTATCGAAAATTTTCAAACAATGTTTGCGAATTGCTATTTGTATAATAAGGTAGGTATGATAGTCAAATCTACAATCTTTTAAACATATTTACAATTATTTGTTTAAGTTACTTGGGGCTCTTTAACATCATTAAAGCATTAGTCATCATGACAGAACAGAAAGAGTGGGTACTGGTCTGAATGTATTTCTTCTTGCTGAAATCCTTGAATTCAGCTAAATAGACATGAAGAGGTCTCCTGATAATTCTGCTTTCTGGTTATTGTTCCGCACCACCTCATTCATTATTAAATTATTTCATTTTCCAGTTGTAACAGACAGTATCACTGTACCTGTATAACCATTCACCAAGACAATCTGAGCATTTTTAATAGGAAAAAAAATGAAACAGATCATTTCAATGCCTGGTCTCATGTAGGTAGGAGTGAATTGCATACGGGTGAGTGAGAGTATCCTGTCATGGATTTAGGGGTGCTCTAAAGTGTCTTAGTGAACCTTTACAGCCCAAGACCTCTGTTTATAAAGACCTCCCCAGATTTTAGCTGGGAAGTCTCCCCCCTCATGTTCCCCTAAGGAATATGATTTCAGCTTGATTTTTTCTAGGTATATCCTGAGAATTAACCAAATGAAAGACTATATCTCTTCCCCTTGGCAAGCCAAGGGGAGGGGACTACTCTTATCTGCCTAACTTGGCAGTGCTGGACAACAGTGGCCCTTCCAGGGGAGGCTTATTCTTTTTTATCTTCCTGAAATTATCCTGCCTCAAATAAAGATTTCTACGGTGGGTAGGTAGGCTCAGATGCCATCCATAGGCACCCATGCTGTATTTTCCCATTGCCCTTTTAGTCTATTTTTCTCTGACAACATAAGGTTACATTAAAGAAGGAAAGGCGGAATAATTACAACACCATCTTGTGATGGCCCTTGTATCTGAAAGTGCCCTAACTCTAAAACATGGAGGCAAAGGACAGACTTGCCCCCCCCCTTTTTTTTGCAAGAAATCTTATGATCGGCTTCTAAATAACAACATGCTCCCCCTAGACCTCTACTGGTAATTTTGTTCCCCTAGCCTCCTTTGGAACTTAAAAGAAACCCCGAATAGGTGGGGGTGGGAAAGATTTGTTTTTAAAATGCATTGCAAACCATATCACTGACAACTCTAGAGAGCACAATTTGTAGTTTTGGAACATTTTTCTGGTATACTGAGGGCGGGTTGTTGGGGAGGATCCACCATTCCAAGGTCTGAAAGAGGGGGGAATTGCCCCTGGATCTTTGCATGTTGGCTGTCCCCAAGGTTGCTATGTGTGTATCTAAATGAACCTTCAGTTAATGAAACAACACTAGTCTCTGTTGAATGAATGCTAAGGAACCGCCAAACGCCATGTTGTAGCCACAGACTACACAAGCACATTCAAAAGTGCACAATACAAGGGTCATGTTTCAAATACAATTGACAGAAATTCATTGTCTGAAAAAAAAAGCTGAAAATAAGAGCTAAGGTCAAAGGAAGGAAAAGGCAAGAAATGAAGAACAAATGAAAATAGTAAAATAATCAAATCAGGAAATTACTATAACAATGAAAAAGAATCTCTGGTCTGAATCCTCAAAGCAATCAGAGAGGGGAGAAAGATTTCTAAAGAAACTAATTCTAGGTAAAATGCTAATAATAGTATTAGTAATGATAATGATGATGATCTGCATTGCTGGAGTCCACAGCCAGTGAGATCAAAGGTGCAGAGGGGTATAATAATAACAGAGGAAATAAATTGGTGTGTAGTTGACGTGAAATATTTAGTGTATGCACAAACAAACCTTTAAGGGTTGGGCAATGATAAATGACAGTGAAATTATTTCTTGTAAAACACCTATAGAGTTGGTGCTTTACAGCAAAAAGGAACATTTTCCTTTGCACACAGGCTTGTTGCCAAATCTCGCACTGCAGACAGTTTAGAAACATGTTGCTCTGATGCAGAAAGTGATTGCCATGTTTTTCTTGCAGCCTGGTGACGACGTTGTTTTCATGGCTCAGGAGCTAGAAAAAGTCTTTATGCAGAAACTTGCACAGATGCCCCCAGAAGAGAAAATAATTGTTACCTCTCAAAGAGAAAGAAAATGGAAAAATTCAGACGGTAAGAAAATACTTGACCAACAATACCTGAGCAGAATGTAGCACATTCCATGAAATGCTGCATGGAGAATCTTTCCAATACTAAATGAGTAAAACAGAATATATAGATTTCAACTGTTCACACTACTATTGATTTCAAGATTTATTTGTTTTTACAGAAATGTTGAAGGACAAAATTATACTATGGTTTCCAAGTCAGAACACTTGCATTAGGTCAATAAAGAAAGCATACACTTGAGATTATGTAGATGCTCTGTTTGCTTCTCTAGCTGATGAAGTTTCTCACAATGTTTTTTTATAATATCTAAAATAGATTTAGTCTACTACTAAGAAATTATGCTCTCCTGAGCAATCCAAATTTGCAGTGTGACAAAAAGATGGAATTCTTCAGAATTTTTGAAAACAGATTGTGCACCTATAGAAGAACAGTCAATGTTAAATGAAAAATACCACTACATCTATCCGCTGCTTAGGATACAAGAGACAATATAATTGTCTGTGAGCTTGTGTACACAGGGCAATTGGACCAGGTTGGATTTTATTAAACAGGATCACCAGGAGGTCCAATATATCATTTTGTGTGATTCTCGTGACCTGAAGTGACCCTATTTGGTCCCCAGCAGTCTGCTGTCTATATGCCAATATCATAAAGTGGGAAAAAACATTTAAGTGTGTATTAGAGCAGCAAATACGCAACATATCACTTTAAAAACAGCATTAGGTATGTGTACTACAAGTTAGGTATGTTCCTCAGGTATGTGTATTAAATATAGGTACCTAATAGACCTACCTGATTTGTAATGCACATACCTAATGCTATTTTTAAAGAAATGCGGCACATTATCCCTTCATGGATTGCTGCCTTGTCGTAGTAAAGGGGCTTGAGTAACTCAGAGAACCTATGGGCTATGCCGTGCAGAGACACGCAAAACGGACAGATCATAGTGGAGAGTTCTGACTAAACGCGATCAACCTGGAGTAGGACTTGGCAAGCAACTCCAGTATCTTTGCCAAGAATACACCATGAACAGAAATAAAAGGCTAAAAGATATAATGCTGGAAGATGGCCCCCTCAGGTTGGAAGGTGTCAAACATGCTACTGAGGAAGAGCGGAGGACAAGAACAAGTAGCTCCAGAGCTGATGAAGTGGTTAGGCCAAGGCCAAAAGGACGCTCAGCTGTGGAGGTGCCTGGAAGTAAAAGGAAAGTCCAATGCTGCAAAGAAAAATACTGCATAGGAAGCTGAAATGTAAGATCTATGAACCTTGGGAAGCTGGATGTGGTCAAACAGGAGATGGCAAGAATAAACATTAACATCCTGGATGTCAGTGAACTAAAATGGACGGGAATGGGCGAATTCAATTCAGATGATTATCATGTCTACTATTGTGGGCAAGAATCCTGTAGAATGAATGCAGTAGCCCTCATAGTCAACAAAGGAGTGGGAAAAGCTGTAATGGGATATAATCTCAAAAATGATAGAATGATTTCTATCTGTACAATCAGCAAAAACAAGACCTGGAGCTGATTGTGGCTCTGATCATCAGCTTCTCCTAGCAAAATTCAAGCTTAAACTGAAGAGAGTAGGAAAAACCATTGGGCCACTCAGTATAATCTTAACCAAATCCCTTAGGAATACACAGTGGAAGTGAAGAACAGATTTCAGGAACTCGATTTGGTGGACAGAATGCCTGAAGAACGTTGTATAGAGGCTCGTAACATTGTACAGGAGGCAGCAACAAAAACCATCCCAAAGAAAAGGAAATGCAAGAAAACAAAGTGGCTGTCCAATGAGGCCTTACAAACAGCAGAGAAAAGAAGGGAAACAAACTGCAAGGGAGATAGGGAAAATTACAGAAAATGGAATGCAGACTTCCAAAGAATAGCAAGGAGAGACAAGAGGGCCTTCTTAAATGAACAATGCAAAGAAGTAGAGGAAAATAATCGAAAAGGAAAAACTAGAGATCTGTTCAAGAAAATTGGAGATATTAAAGCAGTAGTCAGGGAACAGGGATAAATTACCCTAAATGGGGTAAAAATGAAAATCCTGGGGTAATAAGCAGAGCGCTACCCCCCACCCCCTGCAGCCGAACTTCAAACTGTAAGCCACCTATCCCTGCTACCTTCCTTGGTTGTGGCACTTGTAAATCAGTTCTTTTAGAGATCAGAGATAAGGCAGCTTCATTGTTTATGGCTGTAGAACAGCCCCGGGCAGTCAATCCAGTTTGTGAATGACTACTTCCGCCAGAGATAGAAAGCTCCAATTAAGGTGGGAAGGAAGGTGTGTGTGTGTGTGAGAGAGAGACAGGTGCCTACATTAGCTTGTTTAAACGTATGTAGAAAATTGAAGAAGGGAGGGTGTGTCTGTGTGTGTATGAGAGAGAGACTGACTGAAAACTGAAAAACGAACTGATGCAAGGAGGAGGGAAAGCTTCAATTGAGGCTGGAAGGACGGGTGGCTTCATCAAGCTTGTTTAAATGTAATGAGAGGAAATGGACATACTGAACTGAAGCAACTAATTGTTGAAAATTGAGGGAGGAAAGGTTTGTGGGGGGAGAGAAAGAAAGAGAGAGAGAGAGAGAGAGAGAGAGAGAGAGAGATAAACACAGAGAAAAATGACTCTTTCATACACCATGAAAAAAGGAAAAGTTAAACTCCACTGCATTTAGCTCTGCAGTTTCTGCTGAGAACAGCAGAAGTCTGGAGTGTGTAGCAATTGTGTTTCTCTATTTCTCATCCCCAAAGCAGGCAAGAGTATCATAGTTTATTCCCAAAACCTGAATCCCAGTCTTTCTGCTCCTGGCCCTACTTTGACTGCAGCAGCAAACAAAATACTACAGTATGGGTTTCTTTATTAAGTCAATCCATCTCATGTGCAGTCTTCCCCTTTTCCTACTGCATTGCACTTTTTCCTACTGCATTGCACTTTTTCCTGCATTGCTGCCTTTTCCAGTGAGCTTGTCTTCTTATGATGCCACTGTAGTACAGTACCCTTTGGTTATTTTAGCTTCTAGTGCACACTTAATTTGTTTTACTTACTCAAGGTGATGTCTCTGCTTTTTAAGATGCTGTTTAGGTTTGTCATCGCTTTCCTCCCAAGAAGCAGGGGTCTTTTAATTTCATGACTGCTGTCACCATCTGGAGTGATCATGGAGCCCAAGAAAGTAAAATCTGTCATTTCCTCCATATCTTCCCCTTCTATGTGCCAGGAGGTGACGGGGCCAGTGGCCATGACCTTATTTTTTTTTTATTTTGAGCTTCAGACCATTTACTACACACGATTCAAGTAAACTATGGCAAGTCCTTGAAGAAATGGGAATGCCTGACCACCTTATCTATCTCCTAAGAAACCTATACACGGGACAGGAAGCAACAGTTAGAACTTGATATGGAACAACTGATTGGTTCAAAATTGGGAAAGGAGTATGACAAGGCTGTATATTGTCTCCCTGCTTATTTAACTTATATGCAGAATACATCATGC